ACTTTTTGTATCCATACAAGTCTTTGTCAAGGGCAACATTACTTCTGTCCAACTCAAGACGAAGGTCTGTAATGGAAATTCCCTTCGGATAAGAGTTTAGAATCTGCCGAATTTGCTTTATGATCGCCTTTGGAATTGGCCGAGCCTTAGAATCTGAACAACCCTCAGACAATTCTTCAGTCCGTGGACAAGCTGGTTGTTCAACAACTAAAAATGGGTCTTCAAGAGGCACCTTGTAATGGCCATACCAAGAACCAGTAGGACCATCAGGAGGTTGGTTATAGTGCTTTCCAGTCAGATTCTCTCCTTTGAGCAGTGCATTCCAATGCCACATGATACTGGCAGCACTGCAAAGAACACTAGGAGCAGATTCTGGACTAGCAAGCAGTACATTGTAGTTGTTCATTCGTAATCTATGCAATACACTAGCAAAGTCCCTGTCACCAGAAATTAAAAAAAGATGTGCTGGAGGAGGATTTTGAGAAACCCAATACATAAGATCTACCAGAAGCGATCTATCAGCACTGTTCTTTCCACCTGCATTGGCAGGACATTTGCATGGTATTTTAACATGAACCGAGACAATCAATTAAAACTTTTGAATGCAATATAACAAAATAATACAAGACCTGCAATCCGTATTCTTTCACAATATTTGTGCAACGCCGACACATCACAGAAGCTCCGCCACCCCCCACATCACCCTTTTCAACCTAAATCTTTTAGTAGAAAAATGAAAAGGTCCTTTCTAAGATAAATATATGAATCATGATCTAGGATTCTTGTATCGCACAAGGCACAACACAAACAAAAAATGCCTTAAACAATATTATTTGAAGACTAAGGCTTTGGTTGTTGTTTTTGCTATTTACTTTGCTTGTTCGAATAAAAAAGCACGTAATAATTTTGAATAATTAAAACTTAACACTAAATTTTTTAAAATATCAGAAGGCATGATTTTGCACTAATATAAAAACAATTAATCAAATTATGTTAAAACATTCGTAATTTGTTACATTTCAGTTATTTTCTCATTTTTAATCAAATATATGATGGTTAAATAAAGTTTCACTAAACCACTAAATTACTCAATAAGAAGCCCAATATTGCACTTCAATCTTGATTATAAACAATCACTAAATTACATAATAAAACAACCAAAATAAAAAAAAATAAACCATTAAAAGAAATCCCTTTTGCCAACTTAAGAAACAAAAACATACCATGTGGAACATGAGCAAGATTAACCCCAGTGGAAGAAACCGCCTCTTGATTAGTTCTAGAGAGTTGAAAAATGTCTCCGAAAGCCGTTATCTGAATAGGACCCTTAATTCCATTAGCCCTGACAGCGGCAGTGATCATATGTGCAATCTTAAATACATTGACACCTGCAGGCAAATTGCAGTTCTCAAAATCCCACCAAACCGAAACTTTAACGTGCCTTGACTCCTCCTCGTGGCGCCGCGATGGATAATAGGAATGGAAAGGGTGGTTTTGGGAAGTGGAGAAATGGGAAATGAAGATTGAGAGTGAATATATGGGTGGAGAAGAGGAAGAGGAAGAGGAAGAGGAAAAGAAAAAATTGCTCTTAGGAGAGAAGGGTTTAAGTTTCATTGTTAATGGGAAAATGGTGTATTTTTCATTCCACAGATTTTGGATTTCTGGGAAATTTTGGTGAACGGTAGTGAGGAAGACTAGCGAGGGTTTTAGGAAGAGAGAAGAGCCAGAGACCTAAAACCCTCTGCTCCAGCATCCGGGCAGGTTCGGTGCATGTGCATATGCATTTGTTTGGGCTTTTGAGTGTGTTGGGAAATTCAAAGTTGGTCTGGGTTTATTGTTGGGCTTTTATTTAGGCCCTCAAGGGAATGCGCTAGTGTTTGTTTCGATAAATTCTTATCTTTTTGTTTATTTTTCTAGGAAAAAAGTGTAAGACATTTGTGATTTTTTTTCTTTAAGGAAAGATTTAAATCTTGCTTAGGGATGGAAAACTCCTTGCCTTGATCAAGACTCTACTTTTCTCAAAATGAATTTGACTTTAAAAATATTGAAATTTTTGACTCATCAAGGTTCAACTCATTTTCAAAGTGATATAATATCCAAAAAAAAAATTTTAATTATTAAAAAAATTTAAATAAGTCTTTATACTTTTATTATGTTCAATCAAGCTTTTATACTTTTATTTTGAATCAAATAAATTCTTATTTTTTTATTT